ATCACCACCATGACTACCCTCACCATGACTACTATCACCACCCTGATTACCATCCTACTACTACTACTTTGCTGTCACTCGGAATCGAATATGACGATCGTCCAGCTATGATACAATGATATGAGTTAAGAATGTCACCTACGTTAGTGAGTTCTGAGGTGACTAAAGAGGCCGATACGGAACCGGCAGAGTCGATCACAGATGTTGCACATGTGGGGGGATACATGTAGTGCGGGAGGTGCAGCAGCAGCGTCTTACCGGCGTTGGCGCTTGTCTGCCCCGTTACGCAGTCGGATTAACTCGAAACTATTGACACTTTCTTGCGTGGTGCTCCCCCAAGCGTTACGGTGTGCAGTAATCGTCTCCCAGGTGAGGGGGTCGTTTTGGCACTTTTTCAGGTTTGTCTTGAGACTATCCTTATACCTTTTCAGTTGCCCGCCAGCGTTATGTTTACTATTGGTTAGGTGACTGTAAAGTAGCTGCAATAGCAGTCTACTGTCGTCCTTGAGGGTAACATGGCCAGTCCAGCGTAGTTGTTCATGGATAATGGTAGCCTCGATGCTTCTATAGTTCTATAGTTGGTGTCAGTGAGAATACTGGCATTTGTTCTCTTGTCTTGCCAGCGAACTCGGAGAATAGAACATAGACAACATTGGTTAAAGTTTTCAAGTGCCTTGAGGTGCCTCCTGTATGTGACTCATGCCTCACTGTCATATAGCAGGGTGGGGAGGACCACTGCTCGATATACGTGTAACTTTGCAGATAATTTCAGCTCCCTACAGCTGAAGACACGGTTTTGGAGTCTGCCAAAGGCTTGAGTTGCACATCTCATCTGATGCTGAATCTCTTCATTGGTGTTCGCGGTGGTGAACAGGTGGGAGCCGAGATACCGAAAGTGGGTTGCATTAGTGAGGGTAGTACCGTTGAGCTGGATGGCTGGTGGAGGTGTGGCTGAGCCAGGGGCAGGCTGAAAGAGAATCTGAGTCTTACGTACATTCACCTCAAGGCCGAAGTGTGCGTATGCATCTACGTGGGTGTTCAGGATCTCTTGTAGGTTCGCATTCAGTGTGAGCGACAAGGGTGAGGTCGACTGCATACTGATGCTCAGTAATGGAAGCTGCCGACACCTTTGTTCCTGCCTGGATTCGTCTTATATTGAAAAGACCCTGAGGCTTTGTTATTTTTCATCTGTTTGATGGCAGTAGCTACCTCATCCAGAGATGGAGGATAGCTGAGGTGGGTCAGCTCTGGATGTTGAAGGACCTGCCGGGTAGTTAGGACATCCACATTGGTTGAGCAGTGAATGGTAGTCTGCTTTCCAGCACTGAAGGATGCCTTCATCGTCTTTAATTAGGGAGTTACCGCCGGATGAGCGGAGGGGTGCTGCGCCACGAGTGATTGACCCATAAAATGTTTAAGTGGAATTGAAAAATTCGCGCATCTTCTGCTGATCTACAAATTTTTGTGTTTCACCTTTATCATCGTCGAATACATTGATTGCCGGGAAATTCTTTATCAAACCAGTCCTGGTGTATTTTTTCGACCTAGCCGAGGGTCTCTCTGCAGGTTTTTGTCATGACAGTGTCCAGAATATCCCATTCGGCACTAGAGTTTGGGTTGTTTGTTGTCGGGTTGTTTATCAGCCATGTTTGAGCTGCTCTCTGAAAGCATGTGCTACTGCTGGATCCTCCAGACGCTTAGTGTTAAAACCTCTTCTGGAGGCTTGCTGCATTTCGCCGTTTTGGGGCGACATGAAGTGAGAGCTTGGCGCTGACGAGCCGATGATTAGTGTCGCAGTGGTTTGAGTCACAGATGGCACAGGTGATGAGGACATCTCGGCGATCTTTTTCCCTGACAATGATGTGGTCAATGATATGCCAGTGTTTGGATCGTGGGTGTTGCCATGAACCCTTGAACTTGTCGGCCTGCCTAAACAAGGTATTGATGATAGTAAGGTTGTGTGCAGCACACTTGCTGGGGAGTAGGCCGTTGAGACTACATTTGCCGAGTCCATTTCTCCCTATGGTTCACTGCCAAATGTCAGCATCTCTGCCAACTTTGGCATTGAAGTCACCACGGAGCACAACCTTATCTTCTCTGGGGATAGAGGTTAGCACTCTGTCGAGATGTTGGGGCATATGCACAGATGAAAAAGACATGACATGAGTGATTCTGTGGGACTCGGAGCGTCATGAGGCGCTCGTTGATCCCAATAGGCATTTTAGTTAGCCTGTGTAGGATGCATTGGCGGATGGCAAAACTAACTCCATAAATGTGGTTTCTCTCCCCAGCAGACTTACCCTTCCAGGAGGTATAGCCAGATCCCCATCCTGAGTTGACCTTCGTCTGGGAGCCGGGACTCACTTATGGTTACTATGTCGATGTTTATACCTTGCCAGCTCTTTTGCCACAAGGGCAGTTCTTCTTTCAGGATGCTCATTTATGCCAGTATCCAGAAGGGTTCTGACATTCCATGCAGCGACCATAAGAGATTGTATAGTTTGTTTTTGTTTGGATCTGTGATTTTGATTGTGTTTTCGACCGCATAAGGATGACCTGCCACCCATGGGCAGAGTTGTGACTAGAGACTCCCGGCAGTCATCTCTGCCTGTCCCCATCGCCACTCGTCTGTACCATACGACTTTTGGGGATCTAGGGGTTTTGATGATGATGAGAGGTATGATGAGCTGGATGATGGCTGTGCTTGAATTGATTTATGTGGAGAGGCAGGAGCACAGGCTGCAACCACACATCTTGGCTCTCCCTATTCCTGATCTAGTGGCGAAAGTGTCGCAACGATTGGGGAGAGGGAGAGTTGCAATGGACTGCCGATAGTCCAGTTTGTTGTGTTTCGCCTCAGTAGCCTGTCCATCGGGCATTGCCTTCGTCCGCCGATGTAGTCGTTGGGTTCCCATGGTGGTCACCTCTTCCGCCTATACCGCCGTTGGGGTCTTGTTGGAGCTCTGTAAATATGTCTGCCTGATGCGGGACCCCACCGCAGACTTTTCGTTCATCATGACTACCATCACCATAACTACCATCACCACCCTCATTATCAAAATCCCTAACACCCAACATCAACACATTCCTATACATTTATAAGGCAGCCGCCAGGTACAGTCGTAAGGGCTGTACCTCCCCAACCTTTCCTCACACCAATATCTAACACTAACCTTAGTAAATTAACATGGCTCCCGATCACCACATTACTCACATACACCATTAACTACCACTTAGAGGTTGCAAGTTATCATGGCCTAACCACGACTGTGCACGGTAACTGGCAAGTCTTACCCATTAATGTCTTTTAAATACATACTGACAACCTTGTGGAACTAGCCCCGACCCCACCTAACGGGGCACAAGGAGGGCGCCAAATCAAACACTCCCCCCATACTCCATACCCATATGAGGGAGGAGTTATGGTGCATGACCCCCAGTGTGTTTAACAATATTTCTACTCATTTATGAATTCATCATTACGTTGTGAATTTTTCATAAGTCGGGATATATGGTTAAATGAGACAGTCTCTAGGAATCTCTACTGAATTTCCTTTTAGGAAAGAAATATGGAGACACATACTTAAAAAATAAATAACTTTAAATGCCATAGACACCTACCCAGAATTCAATGAATTTTTCCCAAATATCAAAGTTCTGATTAATATTCTTGTGACTTTACCTGTTACGACAGCAACAGTAGAATCCACAGGGAACTAGACATGAACACTCTAAAAGTTATTTAAAATTTTTGTGAAATAACGCCCGAGACAGGAAAATGTTGGGCTATAATTTAGCTAGTTCTGTACCTAAGGTCACTTCAACTTGGTTGATGACTAATTTTCGCTGTGTGGTGAATGATGAGTTAGTTTTTAATTCTTTGTTAACTGGGTTTTAAATGTAGCTAATAATTATATCAATTATCATAGGGTCTTTTTAATTGTATATAAATTTTGTTTTTGAATTATTATTATTATTATTATTATTATTATTATTATTATTATTATTATTATTATTATTATTATTTTTATTATTACATTTTCGCCCCCCAGGCTCCGATGTGGGTCAGTGACCTGTTCCCGGGTGGGCTAATCCCGGTAAAAAAAAAAAAATATATATATATATATATATATATATAACACTTGACCACAATGGTCATAATACTGTACTTGAGCTCTAGTGACATCTAGTGAGCTCAGCAGCTAGTTAAGTTTCCGTGAGAATGATTGTGTAACGATGCAGTTGCACATCTAGTATATTAATACTGTACCCACACATCGTTGTTCTGGTGATTAGGGGTATATGAATTTTATACAACTGACGCAGGACACACACACACAGCGTCGATTCTCCGTTAACATCACCTCAGAAAACCGTAGCCCTCGTGATCACTTACCTTAGAACTTTAAGTGAGACATCAACTGAAAATCATACAGGTCAAAAATATTCACGAGTGAATAAAACACATGAAATAAACCAAGTCTCGTTAATACTGCCATTACATTAAAGATTAAAACTTCAATAATCATCAAATTTGGGGGACGTTATAGATGTTCATAGGTGAGTTTAGTGGTAACACCCCATGTCGTCTACCCCGTTGTGTCTACTCTCGAAATGGCTATACTATTCCCATTTGGTCTAGGTTAGGTTAGGTTGGGTTTTATTAGGTTAGGTTTTGCATTTAGGTTAGATTAGGTTAGATTAGTTTGGTTTTGTTAGGTTAGGTTAAGTTTTAGGTTAAGTTAGGCTTTGTTTGGTTATATTTTAGGTTAAGTTAGATTAGGTTAGGTTTAACGTTTTGTTAGGTTATGTTTTAGGTTTGGTGAAGTAACTTTCAGAGGACATTAACTGATAGTATACACATCCGGTATTCTACGACATTTTCAGAGTTGACAAACTGGGAGTAGACAAAGTGGACTTAAACCGAATTTAGTATCCAGAACACACTGAGAACTTTCGGGATTTTAGAGTTGGGCGTAAATATACTGTACTGTACTCACCTCTGGTAGAGAGCTGAGAGTGGGCAGCTTTAGTTCTTGACGTGGCAACGGCTTGGCTGGCAGCAACACAACCACACTCTTGTGGTTAGGAGCGGGCAATGGTAGCCGGCAGGGCGTGTACGGGGCTATATGGCTGCTGGAGGAAACTGCGTAGTGTCTTCTGCGCGCGAGATAAACACAACCTCAAGAATGTTTCTAGTAAATACTACATTAAGTAATAAATAAAAATGGTCCCAAATCACTACTTGAGGAATATGTAAGTCAACTTTTACCTCAACACCATGGCAACCATTCAAGACAGGCTTCCGGATTAGATCTGTTCAATTGTTTTTACAATTGATAAACTGAATCCCCCCAATTTCCAACACCGGAGGCGTATAATGGTTAACGACTAAGACCAGCACTAAAGTCAGTATGCATAAGGCGTCTTTCAAAACGTGTGTTGTAATAACGAAATGATAATCGTGGTAACATTGTTATATGTTTTTACTAACACCATGCTATGTGTACTATTCCAGATGATACTAAATGTTACATAATAATTCCTTGAAATAAAATGTACAGTATACTGTATATCAGGTGCCACTAAGAGAGCTCAGCTCTGGCTTTTTTCTTTCTTTTTTCTTTTTTACGGCGATTTGCCCACCCGGGCACAGGTCACTGAACCATATCAGGGTATGGGGGCGAGAATATAACAGTAACAATTATAATAATAATAACTGCCCACGGTGAACCGCGTGGACAGTGTTAATAAATTGTTAGAAATAGTTTAGTTATGAGACTATTGAAGATGTAGGAGAGGGGAGTGCAACGAGCTGAAGGGGTGTTTACAACCGAGCGGTCCTGGTTTTCTGCTGAGTAGACAGTTCTGCAGGTGCGAGACTGTCTGGCCTCAGACCAAGTCTTACAGCGATACTGTGAACATCTTCCACCCTCTGCTGGCAGTGACTGTCTGGCCTCCCCTAACTCTCAGACCAAGTCTTACAGCGATACTGTGAACATCTTCCACCCTCTGCTGGCAGTGACTGTCTGGCCTCCCCTAACTCTCAGACCAAGTCTTACAGCGATACTGCGAACATCTTCCACCCTCTGCTGGCAGTGACTGTCTGCTCCCCACCCCCCATAACTCTCAGACCAAGTCTTACAGCGATACTGCGAACATCTTCCACCCTCTGTTGGCAGTGACTGTCTGGCCTCCCCTAACTCTCAGACCAAGTCTTACAGCGATACTGCGAACATCTTCCACCCTCTGCTGGCAGTGACTGTCTGGCCTCCCCTAACTCTCAGACCAAGTCTTACAGCGATACTGCGAACATCTTCCACCCCCTGCTGGCAGTGACTGTCTAGCCTCCCCTAACTCTCAGACCAAGTCTTACAGCGATACTGAGAACATCTTCCACCCTCTGCTGGCAGTGACTGTCTAGCCTCCCCTAACTCTCAGACCAAGTCTTACAGCGATACTGCGAACATCTTCCACCCCCTGCTGGCAGTGACTGTCTAGCCTCCCCTAACTCTCAGACCAAGTCTTACAGCGATACTGCGAACATCTTCCACCCCCTGCTGGCAGTGACTGTCTAGCCTCCCCTAACTCTCAGACCAAGTCTTACAGCGATACTGCGAACATCTTCCACCTCAGACCAAGTCTTACAGCGATACTGTGAACATCTTCCACCCTCTGCTGGCAGTGACTGTCTGGCCTCCCCTAACTCTCAGACCAAGTCTTACAGCGATACTGCGAACATCTTCCACCCTCTGCTGGCAGTGACTGTCTGCTCCCCACCCCCCATAACTCTCAGACCAAGTCTTACAGCGATACTGCGAACATCTTCCACCCTCTGTTGGCAGTGACTGTCTGCCTCCCCTAACTCTCAGACCAAGTCTTACAGCGATACTGCGAACATCTTCCACCCTCTGCTGGCAGTGACTGTCTGGAGACCAAGTCTTACAGCGATCTCTTCCACAGTGACTGTCTAACTCTCAGACCAAGTCTTACAGCGATACTGCGAACATCTTCCACCCTCTGCTGGCAGTGACTGTCTGCTCCCCACCCCCCATAACTCTCAGACCAAGTCTTACAGCGATACTGCGAACATCTTCCACCCTCTGTTGGCAGTGACTGTCTGGCCTCCCCTAACTCTCAGACCAAGTCTTACAGCGATACTGCGAACATCTTCCACCCTCTGCTGGCAGTGACTGTCTGGCCTCCCCTAACTCTCAGACCAAGTCTTACAGCGATACTGCGAACATCTTCCACCCCCTGCTGGCAGTGACTGTCTAGCCTCCCCTAACTCTCAGACCAAGTCTTACAGCGATACTGAGAACATCTTCCACCCTCTGCTGGCAGTGACTGTCTAGCCTCCCCTAACTCTCAGACCAAGTCTTACAGCGATACTGCGAACATCTTCCACCCCCTGCTGGCAGTGACTGTCTAGCCTCCCCTAACTCTCAGACCAAGTCTTACAGCGATACTGCGAACATCTTCCACCCCCTGCTGGCAGTGACTGTCTAGCCTCCCCTAACTCTCAGACCAAGTCTTACAGCGATACTGCATCTTCTCTGCTGGCAAACTCTCAGACCAAGTCTTACAGCGATACTGCGAACATCTTCCACCCCTGCTGGCAGTGACTGTCTAGCCTCCCCTAACTCTCAGACTGTCTAGCCTCCCCTAACTCTCAGACCAAGTCTTACAGCGATACTGCGAACATCTTCCACCCCCTGCTGGCAGTGACTGTCTAGCCTCCCCTAACTCTCAGACCAAGTCTTACAGCGATACTGCGAACATCTTCCACCCCCTGCTGGCAGTAGTGAACACACCAACTCACAAACCTCTCTCTGAGTTTTGTGCTAAGACAATTTACACAGTACTGTTGTCTCTTGGAACACCATACAGATTTACTTCGATCCGCACTTGTAAGTACAGCCTACGTGATGATGGACTCATTGTACCTACTCGTTTTTTGCCTTATCTGAAGCAATAAGACAATGTGGAATGAAGCGCAACTAAGATTAATAGTTATGTATTTTGTATTATGTCACTATGTTTAATTGATCTTATGTAGTTAAGATAAAATTGTGTAAGACTAACAAATTATGTATCAGATGGATCACCATGTAATACTAATGAACGCCTTGTTCTCTGCAGGTTATAGACCATATCAATAAATATTGAGCGCGTCAAAAGGCGGGTTTCAATCATTCCTTTCGACTTGCCCGTCACCCGACCGTCCTTAACTAAGGCAGTTACAATAACGTTGATGATTATTTTTTGTATTGTCTTAAATGATATTATATTTATCGTGACGCCACCGTGACTGTGTAATGCGGTGAAGAATTAAACTTGAAAAGAGCAGTGAGAAGTGGAAGGCAGGAGAGATGTTATCAACGGTGGGATAACTTGTATCGCCTGTTAGCACTTCCCCCGCTGATCTAACACTTGCAACACCATCATTTGGTGAAATATATGCAGATTATTGCCATCTTGCTTCACCATTGTTTGTAATATTTGTATTTTTCAGTTTATATTTCTCTGTATTTAAATTTTCTACTGAATTTTATCTGTCCTTATCGTTATTTTTGCGTATTATGAGACTGAGGCATGTCTTAAAGTTAGTGTATTTTAGGTGCTGTACAAGGGCAACCTTGTTGTATTGCATAAATTATGCGGTTAGTGTGTCTGTATAGCAATGATGTTAACTACAGCTGAGAAAATTCCCAAGTAATGTTAGAAATAATGTGAGAATGTAATAAAACACACACACCCTTAGTTACCATAACTACCTAGTGTTGAATAGATCAACCTAACCTAACCTTACACTGTATACTTCAACTTAACCTAACCTAGTGTTGCATACATCAACTTAACTTAACCTCGTGTTGCATACATCAACTTAACCTAACCTAGTGTTGCATACATCAACCTAACCTAAACTAACCTAGTGTTGCATACATCAACCTAACCTAAGCTAACCTAGTGTTGTATACTGTACATCAATTTGTCCAGTTAAAATATCTCACGAACTTCTAATGGGTCTCAACTTATTAGTGTAGTTGTTGTTGAGTCTTTACGTGTGGTCTTGCCTGTGTATTTTTCCGTCAGTTCTTTGATTTTGTTCCCTATAATATTCTCAGAATAGTCTACAATGCTGTTACTCGACAGGTTAGAGTAGACCAATCATGCTCTTTGTTTCTTCCGTCAGGTTAGAGAAGGCCAATCATGCTCTTTGTTTCATCCCTCAGGTGAGAGTAGACCAATCATGCTCTTTGTTTCTTCCTTCAAGTTAGAGTAGACCAATCATGTTTCTTCCTTCAGGTTAGAGTAGACCAATCACGCTCCTTGTTTCTTCCCTCAGGTTAGAATAGACCAATCATGCTCTTTATTTTTTTCCCTCAGGTTAGATTAGACCAATCATGCTCTTTATTTTTTTCCCTCAGGTTAGAATAGACCAATCATGTTTCATCCCTCAGGTTAGAGTAGACCAATCACGCTCCTTGTTTCTTCCGTCAGGTTAGAATAGACCAATCATGCTCTTTATTTTTCCCTCAGGTTAGAGTAGACCAATCATGCTCCCTATTTCTTCCCTCATCTTATTATAATCACCACCATAACTTTTAACTTTAGTTTCTTCTCATGACTCAAATCTCAATTGAATCTGGTGTACAATGTCACGTGATCACAGGAGCTCAGTGTTTCAGGATGGCTCCACTTTGACGTGATAAGATCAAACAGTTTGGACGCTTGCCCGTCACTGTGGCTTTTTGTAACAGGAACATAAAGTTCTCTTGGCTATTTAGGTCGTCTGTCAGTTTCACTTTTCGTATCGACATAAACTTAATTAAAATCATCCATTTTCGGAAGTGTTTACAGTTTAGTATTGTTACAACGTCTATTAATGATGTCGTATTACAAGCTTGAGTGATTACAACTGGCTATGTGTATAAAGGCGCCATGCACCTTACCACTGACAGCATCCGCCATCACTCTCACCTCACTTGAGATTTTAATATTGTCTCAAATTAGTTAGTGAATAAATCATAACCATCAACACTGAACCTACAGCCACCAGCTCAATCCTTGTATTTTCGTATAAGAATATTATAACATCTTAGTACTGTAC